GAGGAAGGGAGGGGGAACTCAGCTGTTTCTAAATGCATTTTTTGCGTTTGTTTTTTTTCTACTTTCAGAATTATTTTAGGTATAGATAGTGCGATTTTTTTTTTGGGGGGGGACAACCCTCGGATAGGGGGGGACATGTCCCCTCCGTCCCCCCCGGGATTTACGCCCATGTGTGCAGCCACGACGGTCCAACAACTAAACAGAACCAAAGCAGCACTTCAACAAGGAAGTGATTCTTTATAAGTATCAAAACGCTCTAGCATGTACTTGGACGCGTGGTTTCAAGTGACTTCGAACTGCACTTGATTTCTGGTAACTGTTGAAATTGGTAGCATAAAGTTAATTTAGTTCACTTTCCTCCCTGGCTTTCAGAGATGTGTGTCCAATACTGAAAGAGCCCTCTGCCCTCTCAGCTGTGGTCGATCTGTTTGAAGAACAAACAAAGCAAAGTTTTCCTCAAGTTGACATCATAGCGGGTAAGTTGTTGTTCAGGTCTTGCTAAGAGTTATTCTATTTTTGAATGTTCCTGATTACTAACTGTTCTCATGGTTTTCTTATATGTAGGCATAGAAGCCAGAGGATTTCTTTTTGGACCTCTCTTAGCCCAAAGGTTGGGAGTAGGCTTTGTGCCGGTCCGTAAGAAAGGGAAACTCCCTGGTCCTACAGTGTCTTTGTCTTATGCCCTTGAATACGGAGTGGTAAGCTCATCACACTGACTTTGTCTTGCATACATACATCACATGTTCCAGTATTACATAAGGAAATTTCCAGAGCAGATATCTATCTATAGCAAATTGCAGAGCTTGCATTTTACGATGCCCATTGAATGCTTACATAGCCCTTTTAACACTTTGGTCATAGTTCCCTAACAAGTACATTGCTTGCTGGCAGTGACTTATTCTTGAAAGATTATGAGCTAAACTGATGGGTGTGTGTGTTTTTTGCAGTCTGTGGCTCAGCTGACACTGTGCTTGTCTTTTTTTTCATACTGTCAAACCTTCTAGACATTTCACCCCAGTATAGGATATATGACAGTATTTAAAAAAAATATATATAATATATATAAAATCACATAGGTTACTGTAAACTCCGGAACCGGAGGTAACCTAAACAGGCTCGTAAGTGTGGAAATTAGGAAAACAAGGAGACAACACTCTGTTGACGACTTAAAAAGCCCCTTTGTTTATTGACACCACTGTCGCTGCCCGATTTGCGGCCGCATGCACACTAGGTTTCCTGTGCGCCGCGCCCGCTCCCAAAGTTTACAGCGCATTCACGGCGCATTTTGTTTTTGTGGCGTTAACTTCTGTCTGACCCCACGGACAGTTTACATATCTTGGAATAGAAGTATCTCATAAATAAATGTAATTGTAGTTATTTTTGGTCCACGTTTTGAGTCGTTCTTTGCATTCAGGATGTCTTGGAGATCCAGGAAGATGCAGTGACAGCAGGACAGAAGGTTGTGCTCATTGATGACTTGCTGGCAACAGGGGGTGAGTTGGTGTTTGTGGCTGCTGCGTTTATGTACTAATCACTGATATCTTTGTATTTGCTAATCAGGAAGGGGCACCCTATTCAATGAAAGGTTAGCTGAACTGTTTGGTACAATATTTAGATTAATTACCAGTCTGGAGGTATTCTGGTCTCACTGTAATGTACTCCAGACTGCTGGAAGTGCATTGTTCATTAATGTGATCATTGGAAAGGTTATTTTGTCACTGTTATAAATGTGTGTGATTAGTAGCTTACACTGATAAGTTATTAACACAGGTGTCTTTCTCTAAAGGGACTATGCATGCTTCCTGCAAGCTGCTGGAGAAGCATCAGGCAGAGGTGCTGGGCTGCTTCGTGGTAATCAAGTTCAAGGATCTGAAGGGGGAGGAAAAGCTTCACGACTACAGAGTATTCTCCCTGCTGCAGTGTTGAGGCCCCTCCCCCAGAGAGTCCTCCTTCCTCTACGCAAACTACATCGAGTGATCCCTTAGCCAATCACCTGCCCTGGGTGGAAATTTCAACTTGACATTCCAAAGATTATTTGCAAATGTTGTGATTCTTCTGGAAATTTTTTTGGCAAAGTGTGTGACAGTACAATAGATTCAGTGAGCCTCAGTCCTAGAAACAGATTTCCTCTTAAGTCGCTCGTATGAGTGATTTAAGAGAAGTTTCACTGCTAATTTGGTATTTTGAATGCTCCCTACTCTGTTGGGCCCTTAACCTGCAATTGCTTCATCCTGCTTACGACTTTATCATCTAAATCCAGCCCTCTAAGGAGGTCCTCCAGTTTACAGGGAGTAACTCACACTGGTCCATTCAGACTGGTGTGGTGCTGAGGGATCACCTGCCACATGGCTGCACTCAGGTTCTCACCCCTGAGGTGGTAGTGCGGCAATGAACAGTGCAATCAGTGTGTGCTCCTTACCTTCTCTTGGGCATGAACACAATTTACGAGTGGTCCAGACAGGTCGTGGTCTTCTGTTATCCAAATCCAGGTTTCTCACCACTACATTATATATTTCACTCCTTGAAAGTGATTTTGACTTTTTAAATGCTTATGTAGTTTGATCTATGGCAGAGGCCAGTATTGCACACAAGCCCAGCAGAATTTAAGATCAGAATATGAAAATGTTCTTGCATGAGGCCTAATGTCCTCCGTACTCAATTATGAAGTGTAAAATGACAGAGGGTTATACGATGACAATGTGCAAATAATGGAAATGAATAAAATCTTAATGGTCAAATTTATGCAATCTTTAGTAAATCTGTTCACAGTTAATTGCAGGGAATACAAAAAGCAACTTTATTGAAGCTTCCTTCCCTACTTATAAAAAAGCTTGTGAAGTCAGCCACTAGATTCAGAACAGGGCAATGGAGAAAGTCAAAGTACAGTGATCTACCATAAATGCACTACCCTCTATGTGATTACATCAGCAATGGTAGTTACGCAAGTCTTGGCTAAAACTCCCCCAAGACCCTACTGAAGTTAAAACCTCTCAGCAGCCATGATACCGAAAGCAAAAAGTCAAACCACCCTTATTTAAAAACATCCACACTAACTGCACACTATCCTTCAGCCATTCAGCACTTCTCCTCCTCCTGCATCTTCTTGTTCAGCTTCTGCAGAATCACGTTCAAATCCACAGTTTTGTTCAGCTTCAGGTAGGACTCCTTCCTGATCTGGTGGACGGTCAGCCATTCAGGGGCCAGTTCTGCCAGCAGACGCAGGTGCTTCTCCATCTCCCCTGAATTTGGAGGGAGAGCTTGAATCATACGTATGACAGTATAGGTTTCTGCAGTTCAGAACCACACAACAACTGGTTGTGTATAAGGCAGCCATTCAAGCACCTGCTGAAACTAGAGAATCCTGTCCTTCCCTCCTAGTTCTTGGGAGGTCCAGCACTCATTAAAAATTTCAGTATTACATGTAACCAGAGAGCCATGCACGTACCGACACTGAGCGCGGAGCGATAGCTGGAAGTCATGTGGTTGCAGGCCACCTCCATGACTAAGGCCGGCTTCTTCTCTGCCACGAAGACATTACGCAGGATCCTGGCGAGCTCCGCCAGCCGTGACATCATCAGCATGCGCTCTTCTTGCTGAGGGCTGCGCATCATGGCAGCCTGGAGCTTCTGAGCCTCCTTTGCCCTGATCTGAAATGGACCAACGATAGCAATTAGCATCTCGTAATTCTTCAGATAAATACAAAGAAACCCTGGTTGTCTCGTTTAATCCGGTTAGTTGTGCTCAGCGATTCAATGACGGTGTCATTTTGTTGGTAGGTTTGTGGTCGATGGCATGGGATGACGGTGGGATGGGGAGAGACGTACCCTCTCTACGAGAGACTGGGAAATTCCTGCTAAAGCGCGGGGAGTTCCAGGAGCAGATTGTGTTTTCTCTGGGGGCTCCGAGTCTTTTGTCAGAGGCACTTCAGTCTTCAGGGCCAGGTTAGACAGGGCCTTCTCCATCTGTGGAGGACAACCCAGTTACTGGAAGGCTAAAGAATTTCAGCCGTTGCACTCGAGCCCACCTCTAGGTCCCAAGGACCAGAATTACTGTTGTTACCTTCGGGGTCATCAGAGAACGGGCCTTGTCCAGAACTTCCTGGGCAGTTGTCAGCTTGTCCAGGTGTGGTGGCTGAGGCAGCTCACTGAGCTGTATGTTGGGGACCTCATCCACATTGAAGCGAGGATGCCAACGGGTTAGCTTGTCATCCGGGACACTTAGTGGAGGGTCCAGGGAGGTTAGGAACGCCTGGGGAGGAAGAACCCACTTTGAAACTAAATCTCCCAATAAACTCTAAAGCACAACAAATATTTAACGGTGAAGCAGCACGTACCCGGTGGTGCTGCTTCACAATGCCAACCAGGTTTCGGTGGAAAGTACGTCTCCTCTCCAGCAGACGCGAAGCTGAAAGTTGAGGACGTGTACCACTCTTCTCTGAAAGAGAAGAGAACTTAGTGCTCGTTTCCAAAATACCAATTCAAACTACCAGCATCCCATCATCCTAGCCATGAGGATTAGTCTGAGCAGAACCTTACCATCTTGGAGAACTGGCTCCAGTGTTAGCTGGTAGCTTGACTTCTTTGCGGTGGCACTAAAATTAGGAATGTTTTTCTCTTGACGGAAGGTGTATGCTGAAGGATAGACCGTCTTAATTTGACCAACGTGATTCTCCTCGAACCTCCTGTATAGACATAACGTATTCAATAATAGAACATCTAGAAACCAGATTTCTGCATCCATTTAGGTATTTAAGGACAGCTTTTGTCAGTGACAGATTCAGGTTTGACCAACGCTAGATCAAAGCATCAACGCATTTTCCTTACTTGTGCATCATATCTTGGACGCCCTGCTTGACTTTGGCAAAGGTGACCGTCTCAGAACGATTGAAGAGCATCCCCACAATGACATCCGTGCTCCTGAACATCTCTGCCAGAACTTTGTACTTGTAAGGCAGGGAGAGGCCAGGTGGAACATCTTGGGCGAGTGTGTGGTAGCGCTGGTACGCCGGTACCTTCTCTCTGTGGAAATGGATGTACATTTCTCCATGAAGAAGACCCCACCTCTACAAGGATACATCATAAAAAAATGTAACCACTAGAACCCTTTAAGGAGGTTTATGGCTGTCCTGGAAGCGTTACCTCAATGGCAGTCTGCATTTATGTCATAAGAGGTTATTAACCAGCACCACACCTAGACAGCATCTATAACTCAGTAGCGCTATACCTATCCTCAGGTTCAGGTGGAGTTTCCTCTGTGACAACTTTGGCCTCTTCAGTCTTTTCCTTCTCCTTCCGCTGCTGAACTCTCGCCACCAGCTCCCGGGCACGTGCGAGTGTGGCCTTGACGTCAGAGGCGTCGACGCTGGCAGCAGGAACGGGAGATGGCTTCTGTTTCTGTTCTTGGATCTTCTGGAGACGAGACTTCAGTGCAGCAACGTCCTCTTTGGAGAAGGTCTGCAGGGGGAAACAAGCCCCTTTAAAAAACAGTCCGCTTACAACCCAAAGGGGGTCGGAGATTAAGGATAAATAAGGAATAAACACATGCTCCAGAGAAGCACTGATACATACAGAACTATCAACAGTAGACATGAGGAAAAGTACATTGTGGCTGTTTGGTAATTACCTTCTGTTTCCCCACTGGAGAGGAGCTGGCACCCTGATTTGAATTCTTAACCTCATTTTCACCAGATAATGAGCTGTGGTTGTTCACAGGTTTGGTCACCTACAAACAATTTGAATAAAACAGTACATAAGTTTAGTCACATGCAATGAGGAATAACCCCTCACAGTAGAATCACAGTGACATACAGTTAATGTTCAGGCCTATTTTCCTAGTAGAAGCCAAAAACAGGGACATTATCCCATCATTGTCCTGCGATAGGCTGCCCCCCCCTGTCCTGGGTTGTTCCCTGCCTCATGCCCATTGCTTCCGGGATAGGCTCCGGACCCCCCGCGACCCAGTAGGATAAGCGGGTTGGAAAATGGATGGATGGATTATCCCATCGTTGTCCCCTACGAGAGCCCTTTAGTCCACCTAGAACTGGACGGCAGTATCAACAAACTAAACGTGCAGTCTACCTAAAAGACACCTAAAACCAATCTGAAGTTCTGCATTTTCAAGTTCTAGCTACAATTATTAACTAACACGTGGAGCAGTGAAACTGGTAAGTCATTCGCGCCAGCAATAACGATGCCTTTATAAATTACATATCAGTAGACTCAATGATACCCACAGAGCGCTGGGATGACCCTTAGAGGGCCTGACCCGGAAGTCGTCGAGGAGCCACTGGTCATGCGTGGCGACATCAAACAGTACACAACTAATTAACTCGTTTATTCGATGCTTCTATCCGAAATGACTTAGTTGATGGAAAAGTTACAATTTGTGTGTGCTCCCTGGGATTTGAACTGACGACCTATGTGCTGTCATTCTACTTAAGTGCTACAGCTTGGGTAAAGCTGTTCGTAGTAAATAAAAAATACACGATACAGTTGACTACCTTTGTTGTCTGACGGCGTTATTTTCATTGGTTTGGTACTATATGAAAACTGCTGACAATCACGCCATAGTTAATATCTACTCTGCATGATGTAATGTGGGTAATCGACAAACAAATTTTATCCAGAAACTCGACATACCTGTTCCTTAGATAGGATTAGTTTTTTTCTGGCGGATTTCTTCTGGGTCTTCACCTCGGCAGTTTTCGACACAGTAGGGCTAACCTCCCGACCCAAATCCACCCGAGCACGCTTCTTTGCAGAGCTATCCCCAGGAGGGAACAGTTCCGAAGAAAGGTTGAACTCAGACGAAGTCCGTTTGGGGGTCCGAGGACATTCCTTTTGACTTTGCTCCAAGGATCTTTCCAAAGGTGCATCGGAAGTCTCTTCTTTATCCACCTGTAAACCGGCCGCAGCTTTCGGGTTATGTTGTACGGCTTTTTTGGAGCGCGTAGATCTAGTTGTAGCCGGTCTATTTGCAGCTGCATTCTTCGTCCGAGTGGATCTTGTATTTTCCTCCTTTATCGCAGTCCTCCGCACCTCAGTTTCTACAAACGCTTTCTGTTCACTTTTACCCGTAAGATGTCTAGCAATACCACTACGTTTGCTCTGGGCAAAGAAATCTGTTACGCGAGCCTGAGACATTTTTGCCCGTTTATGTCCGTAATGACCTACACAACTTAGTACGCTTCTCTAATGCAATTAAAAATATACATCTATAATCAATCAAGCCACCAAGTCTACCTCTCTTTCGCCTTACTGCAAGCTGCAAGGAAGTAACCTTTCGCGCGAAACACACCCATGTGACTCGTCTGGTCCGCGTAGCACCAATAGCCGCACGGCCCTCCCTTTGCGCATGCGTCCTCTTGGTAATACAAGTGATTGATCCCGCCCCTTCTCTCCGCGTTCTTCATCTAGTCAATAGTTCTTGGAGATGATAGGGTGGTTCTGTTCAGGTTAAACCAGGTTATATTGACTTAAAAATATATGCACTTACGCAATATTTCTTGAATTCCCTAAGGAAGGTGGGAAATTAACCAAATGACATGTCATCAATAATAAACCTCTTCAGAAACTTAAAATAAAAGCAGTTTATATGTTATATTGTATGATCCTGGTAGCAAAATATTTCTAAGTAACTTATTTAGCAGTTTTATTTTTGATTTATAAAAAGACTCGCAACTGCCGTTTTTAGACCAGTTCGTGCTGCTTTATAAGTTTTTGAATAAGTGACATACACAAAGTAGTCAAATGCAGTGTAATGTATTGCAGAACGATATCTCGCAGGGCACACTGACACGCCATTCACTTACACAGGCATACAAGTTACATTGCAAGTGTTTTTGGGCTGGGGGAAAAACCCCACGACGGCACGGGTGTGAGTTGTGAGGCCACCGCGCTAACCGCGGCGCCAAGCGCCACCGTGCATTTAGACAAGAGAGACTCAACTTTTACCAGCACAATATAGGCGAATTGGTATAATTTTGGACATTCATTAAATATTTGTCGTATATTATTGTAACCATAATTAGATTCAACTCAACGTGTACTAAACCCAGGGGCTGTAGTTAGACATGAATGGATGGGGGGGCTGAGTGTTTACTGGAGGGGGCGATGGCAAACATGTATAATATAAAAAGCTATTCATGACTGAAGTCAATAAATACACATTTTTTCGGGGGGGCTAAAGCCCCCATAAAACAGGCCTAACGACGCCTCTGTCACTAAAAAAGTCAGAACTTCATGAAGTACAAACAGGAATAGTTGGGAGTTTTGTTTTTGATGTTCCGTCGATATTCACTAGGTGGAGCCATTTTACAATAATAAATGGCTAATGGTAGAAAACTGGACGAAGGACGAGGCAGGTTGAGTACACTGGCACCAGTGAAGTCATTTTGGCAAAGTAAGAAAAGTCCTTTCTGACTAATAAATGAGCGGGAAAGTTACAGCAGGACAGGGCCGATAAGTGCAAATAGAGCTGCTCTATCTTAAGCGTACATGGGAAATGCTACACGTTTTAACACCTAATATATATATATATATGTTATTTTCGAACACGTGGTAATGACGTTCCTAAAATGCCATTCTTATTTTGGTGCTTGGATGACAAGGCACATTATCACAAGTGTTTTTTTTTCACATTAAAAGTGGTTTTATACAATTATTTGTGATTTGTAAATGCAAACTTCATCTGTGGTGAGTTTATAAGACAGTAGGCTATAAACGGTTTGGAGATGTTTTTCTCCAGCAACAGTGTAAGGCCAGAGAAACCTTGAGGTATTTAAGTACGAGTAAAGGTATATTTCAAAGTGTATATACATCAATAAATGGTAGTCCTTTGAAAATGGAATCGTTTTGGTTTCGGATATTAAAAACCGTTAAACTTTACTAACTTAATTCTGTCTTTGATTTGTATTTTTTAAAGTATTTCATATAGCAGTGATAAAAATAAACATTTTAGGGGAGCTGCTTCTTTTCACGCTTGTTGTTCCCTACCATAAAATAAGAAAGTTTGCGCGCACATTTCCGAAATGTGCAGCAAACTCATAACTTTGGTCTCATGTGTCACGGGTAGGGCGAAAAAGATATAGATGTAAAGCAAAAAATCAATTTTAAATGTTTCTAAACTATAGCTGTCAAGGCTCCTCCATGCAGTGCAGGGAGCTGGGCTGTCTTTCGCAGGAAGGCGTTACGGGGTGGGCGCTTCTTGCAGCGATGGGTGTAGTTAGCGAGCGTGAAAATGCGCTTTGCTGTAGGTAGCGGCGGGCAAAGGCGACACCTCGCAGGGAGACCGGGACGGCCGGAGCCTTGGGCTTAATACCGAGGAAGAAATGCGCAAGAAAGCGGCCACAGTCTTCGCTTGGTCATTCGGGGCTGGAAGAACAGTGCGGCTATTGCAACACAAAAGGATCACTTTTTCCATGAAGATGTGAAATTTGCCGTACTGGGAATATTCTGTCTTCCAAAGCAGTGAGTAAGAGAGAAAGAGACTTATGCAGGGGCGTGTTACTGAGTTTGTTGATTGTTTTCTGTTTGCCTGAAATCGTGACGTCATGAAGAAACTTATTTTGACCAGGTAGGAATTGTCAAGTGGAACTGCTGGATCTGATACCTTCCTTTGACATGCGCGAGAACTTGGGAGCGCATTTATGCTGCCTTGGCGATGGAGTGCTTCTCTGGATCTCCGCGCCTCGCTGCAAATTTTCACGCTTAAGATGAACGTTGGTCCCGAAGAGGATCGGTTTAATCTGAATACTGGGAATTTGCCGTTGTGTTGAGGAATGCTGCTGCTCGGGGACTGAGCCTTTCGGGACGCGCTCATGGAAGTCCGCGTGGTTTGCATCTGCTACTGCTGCCTGCTGCCCATATTCCTGCTAGCAGGTAAAGTATATTATTCCCGTCATCTGGGTGTTTGCTGATGATTGTCATTACAATTAAGAACATACACAGTGGGTGTATGTACAAATACGTCATGTACTGCATTGTTGCAAGCCAAATGATAACTTTAGTTTGGGGGAAGAAGGGTACATGTTTTGTAATTCACAATGCACTGCTTACTTGTTGCTTTAGAGTACAGATATGTGCTGTACAGTATCGTTTAAAAGGAGATTCTGATCGGTTATAAAAATTTAATTGTAGTCACAATACCGCTGTAGTACTTCTGGATAGTATGTAAAGTTTGATGATACTGCAGTCAAATTATTCAGCTTGTTGAGATTTTTAATAGAGTTAAAAATAATGAATACTATAGTCTGTAGTGTAGATTTAAGATCGTATTTTTTATATTAACGGAACCGATTTGACGGCTGTATAAATTAATCTTTTTTCATTTTTATATAGTAACCATGTCCCATGAATTGTGTATCCTGTTTCATTTCCTCTACCTCTCAGGACAGCTCCCCACAATCCTGGCTGCACAGTTTTTACACAAAAATGGATGTATGGTTTATATGATTTATTGACTGTTGTTGTGTGTGTCCGTATTCCGGTATAGATTAGAATGGGTTTTTAAGGTATACTGACAGCTCGTTTCCTCACTATGTTCTCAGACTCCTGAATAAGCCTCTAGTCCTGACTCACTTTGTTCTCAGACTCCTGAATAAGCCTCTAGTCCTGACTCACTTTGTTCTCAGACTCCTGAATAAGCCTCTAGTCCTGACTCACCGGGTGTCATTTCAGGGGACACACCCTCACACTCCTTTTCCGCTGGGCCTAAACACATCCCGCTGTTAGGATACCTAGCATACACTGCCCTCACTGGTCCTTTTCATGGTGGAAGTCAACTCAGACCTTTTCTGTTAGCATGTTAGCATGAAGATTTTGTGTTTAAATTACTTAATGTATATGAGGTCATTCTGACTGAGTCACCCTAGGTTTTTTTTAAACGCATTCCATCCTGTTTAGTAATTTCCTTTTCTTCTCATGTCAGCCCCTAGCCCCCAGTCCGTGACACTTCTGGCTGTGTTCTGTCAAAGCTTTGGACCGCGCCACAGTTCTTCTGCAACTGTCGTGAAAAGGCTTTTGACAGGATATCATTGGGCTTCCTCTGTCGCATGGGCTCCGTGTGACTCACAGGAAGTTAGCTGCACTTTTTTTTTCTCCAGATACCGCTGTCCTCTGTCCTCACCCGCTCTCTAATATGTGGTCAACCAAACTCCCATCCAGATTTTAGCTCTGATTAAAGCCTGGTTATGTCGTCTTCCAATATACTGTCCTTCTTACCCTTCCCAGTGACACATATTATTTATGTGCATGAACTTGCCTTAACTCATTCCTATATATGACCTGTCACATGCTTTAGTGACTTTATAACAGTCTTTCTGTTGAGGTTATTTTGTATTTTGCAATAACCGTTCATTTAAGGATATTCTTTTCACGCTCTGCTCAGCTCTCTCTCTCTAACTGTAACTGGCCTTCCCATCCAGAGAAAAATGTGACACCACGAAATATGTTGATGAAACCTATACCTTTTTTAACTTTTCCTCTATGGGAATTAGGAAGTTAACGCATTTAGGCCTATTTTATATCAAACTGTGTGGCATGGTAAATTTTGTCTTTGGATTTTTGCATTTAGAATTTTTTGCTTTTTTTGTTCAGTAATTCTATGTTTTGAAAGGTTTTAAATGGCGGTTTTAAATCTCATTTCACCTTTTGTCTTATACATTTACAATTCTGAATAACCAGTGCGCAGTTAAGGTGCCAGTGCTTTGCAGTAAGAGTGTGTGTCACTGTATCTGCTGTCTCGCTGCCACATTGTTCATTGTTATTCATGTGACTTTGCTTTGTGTGGCTTGTATCTTCCCTTCCACAGTTATTAGGGTCAGTTAGCAGAGTATCAGAGGGTCCGTCAGACCCCCCCTTGACACCACTGGCCCAGTTAAACGGCAAGGTTCTTTATAATGAAGCAGTGCAGTCGTCTGTAAGTGGAATTTTACAAGGTCTAATGATCCTAAGACGGACGGTGGGATAAATGGTCATGTGGGAAGAGCCTTTGTTGGCTGATCAGGGCCTTGGTAAACAAGGTCAAGCTCACCTGCGGTTTAGAGCAGGACACTTATGCTCAATCTTTCAAGTGTCATGAGTGTGCCAGCGTTTCCTTGTACTGTTCCTTTAAATTTACCCTGGCATCCTTGTTTAAGACCCCTTTCATGCAGCAGAGTGCCGATTGCGTTTATTTTTGAGAGGCATACACAGCACATGTGATTAACGGTGGGCAGTGAAGTCCGCCCCAAAGAAGAAATGCAGTTCCTCTCTCGTTTTTAAATACTGCCTATAATTAAAAAAAGAAAAAACTTTAAGGTGGTTATTATCTAAATTCCACTGCTTCTGAAGTATAATTTCATTTTGCTGTAAGTGGAGTACAGATATATACCATACACACACCTTGATGTTTGTACAGTGCATATTTTGCGTCGTGTCCAATCACAGCCAGGCAGGACAGAATGCCCACCGGTGACAGTTCCAGTTTATTTTCAGAGGAGAAACTGTAAAATGGGTGGAGCCCCCAAAGATGAAAAACAAAGACTGTCGCTGACTTCTTTCTAGTAATTGCACAGAATAAAAGCACTGTACTTTAAGTTGCACATTATTTACAGCTATGATTCATGCATATTCATGCGATTCCAGTTACCGCTGAAATAATAATAGACTCACATGCGTGTGTTTGGGAGGCTGCGTTCCGTGTTGTGTGTTCAGCATCATGCAGAGCCTGTTAAAATGGAGGGTCACCCATGAGGCCAGTCTGCTTCCAGGGGCATGATGCGTACCCAGCCAGTGGAGGAACCAGTGCAGGCCACCAGAGCGTCGACTCTGCTGCTGAGACCTCGTTTTCCCCTGCCGGAGGGACCTGGCGATGGAGTGATAAATCACTCCGTGGGTTCTCCTTGCTGGAGTGTGTTGATAAATACTTCTGCCCCGTAATAGGGCCCAGCATTATTCAGCTGTCTAATAACACTCATTAAGATAAATTATGCTGCTGATCGCGTCAGGAATGCACTATATAGTTTTTGTACTTTAAAGGTGGCTACTGTAAAAGGGGGGGGGGGGGGGGGGTCAGGTAGGGATGTGTGCCAATACGTCGCCAGTTAATGGCAGACCTTGTTTTTCTCTGATGGACCGTAACTTCTCAGT